GAGGGGGCCCTGCAGGCCGCAGCAATGGAAGCATAGCACCATTAATTGTTCTCTGACCATCAGTGCTGTCTGTATCACAGGTAAGTTTGCTATCAGCTCCATTAGGGCTGGGTATCACCCTTCATTTAAGGCATCAGAAGGTTTTGGGAAATAAAAAAACAAAAAGAACTAAAGTGCTGGATCGGTTTTGCAGGAAGTAAACAAAGCATTTTCTGCATGACACAAACTTTTGTGATTTTTCTTAAACTTTGTTTACTGCTGAAAGTGTGTGAGATAGTTAAGGTACATGCAGTGACACTAGCAAGACACTGATGATCCGTTAGCATGTAACAGTAGCACTGTTTACCATGTTACATGAGCATGTTACCAAGGTAGATTTGCTAATTAGCAGACGAAGAGTTTTGCGGTATTTTGCCAAAAAAATGAAGTCTTTCAGAATTCGTAATTGTGAGGACCAACGCGGTAGATAAAGTGCCTGATCTACATTCCTATCCATAATGCCCTGCTGCTCATATTTTCTCAAAAACGTAACATTAGCGGCACAAAACTGCAACATGTCCAAGTTTTAGCACCGGGAATCAGCTGTCAGTCAGTAAAAAAATGTGCCTGAATTGTTCCGAGTCAAAAGCATTTACATAAAGTTTTAATTTTTTTATCCCCGCATCATTACAGCATCTGACCGAGCAAACATTCCTACACTTAAATAAAATAATCAAAAATTTTGCAATAGTTTGAAATACCCAGCCCTAACCAACAAATTTCAGTCTTTAGTGATTCAGCCACTTCAAAAGGCACCGTTCACATGTGAAACTCTGGGCTATTTCACATGTGCCAGTTTGTACTCGAGCAGAAAACTCGCGCAGAGAATCGTGGCGACCACACAGCGAAAGCAAGCCACAAGTTACTGAACTCTATTGCACTTGGGGTAAAAGTTCAGAGGGTTTTTTTCCCCCCCTCCACGCAGGAATTTGGGGGCACAGTGGTATTTAAGTGTTGCTCTAACACAGCTCAATGGTAAATACAACTGACAGGTAAAACCAGCCTGCCCTAGAAAAACACTGAAATACATTGCATATTTATGAACAACACTATTTGACACGATTGATCTACAAAGCAAGAGGTAAACTGAATTTTTACTCTCACAAGTCACACTGCATTTAAAAAGGTTCACCAGTTCCTTCATTTTTATTTTTTATTTTTTTTAAAACAGATTCTCAATGTGCCGCCAAGCGCTTGTCAGAAGGCACAGCAACATCTACGCAACCACATCCACTCAATGGATTCTCCTGCGACGCCGCATGCCTGCAGCGTTGGTAACAAAACAAATGGGACTACATTAAGCTTATGGTCAGCAGAAGCCACTGATTCAAGTAAGAAATGCTTTCACACAGGGAAAATCAGTCAGCAGTATCCGACTGCCAGTTCAGTCAGTAAAGTTCCTCCTACAGAGTTTTAAAGGTTGAAGCTGATTTTATAACAATGCCAGCAAGACAGCTATTTAATAAAACCTCTAGGTGTGAAAGTGCAACTTAAAGACTTCTGTTTGTGTGTGAAGGGAGTTCTGTGATTGTCATTAGCAACTTGCTGTCCTGTTTCCTGCTTTTTCATTCCTTCAATGCTTTGCAACAGCTCTTACAAGAAGTCTGCAGGAGAAAGTAAAATGTTTCATGACCTCAAGAAGAAAGCTGATCAGTAAACAGGTGCTTTAAAAAAAAAAAGAGAGAGAGAAAAAAAATCATCTATTGGGACACCTCTGACAGTTCTGGTCAACATTTGAATCACCGATTCAACCGCCGCTCATAGTCATTAAGCCCGTGTTAGACTGCAGTCTCAAACTTAGTGACAGCTGCGACAGTAACTGTTTATCTGACCCGCGCTGGAACAGCAGCTGAAAAGAAAACTCAAATTTCCTGTTTTTGGTTCGTTTGTAAATGCATAAAAGGGACAGGTGGACATCGAGGAGTACAGCTGAATTCTATCATTCCACAGCCGTCCTTGAATGCAGCATTGTTCCTGGCCCCTCATTTTGAGTCAGACCAGGCATCGTACAGTTATATTTGACTGGTGTCTTTTAGCACCAGAAAGCTTCTGGAAAAATCTACTTTGTATATTTAGTAAATGAACAGCCAACTGCTTTAACTGCTTTAACCCCTTCAAACTCTTAAGAAAAAAAAAAATGCTGTTAAAAAAAAAGTTTCCCCAACGTCCCCCTCAAATGTAACCCGAGGGAAAGGGAGCTTAAGACTGATTAGAAGAGGCAAAAAATCAAAAGCAGGAAAAACAAACAAACTATGATATAAAATAAATAACTGCAACATAATTAAAGCCTGCTATAGAATTGGATTCATCTGCTTGGCATTTGAAACTTCTTGACCAAAAAACAACAACACTTGAATATGTTTTACAGTCTTGGTCCTGCTTTGTCAGAGTCAGTGGGCAGTTTGAGGGTTAATCCACCTGGTGCGCATTAATTTGGGTGAATTTATTTCTATACAGACGTGTGTATTCTCTTGAAAGAATACAAGCTTTTGTCTTCGAACTTTAGTCAGCGGTGTTCAAACTGCCCACTGTGCTAAGCTCACCAGACCCGTCTTGGTCTAGTGTTGAGTGATCAAGTGTGACTCTCATGCACACCAAGTGTTATTTAACTTCACATTCTTTTTCTGTGGAGATTCCTCTCTGTTGAAACTATTTACATTTAATCTGAGTTCTACATGTAAACATAACAAAATTAATCCACCCCCACACTGGAGTAACAGAGCTTTTTTTTGGCTCTTAATAGGCCCAGTTTGGGGGGGTGGGAGTAGGAGGAGGATTGGATTTCTACCACTGAACCATCCAAATGTTCAGCGGAGATCCCTTTTCAAGTTCAATCAGGGACGAAACATGGACATCCTGGGTCAACAGGCCCCTTGAAGCCTGGTTGCAAAGCAGAGCCAAGTAGGGATAACCAAGGATTTAAATGCATGCGATCGGTTCTGTGTAGCAACTTTTCCACAAGCACAATTTACCCTGACAGTTTCTCACTGTGCTGAGCAGAGTTGGGTTTCGCATTCGACAATCACGGCGGGACGCTGCCATCGTTTATTAATGTGCAGCACGTGCTGGGACGTGTCGTGCATGCAGAAGGTGAATACGTTGTAATAGCTGCCAAGACTGCCAGTCCAGATAGCAAACTACTCTGGAGAGTGGACGTGCATCAGTGCGAAGAAGTAGGAGTGTGGCCCATCTGGGAGCTCTGTGGGCTGGGTGGTAAGTGTTTTGAAAGCAATCATATGCTGCCAGTGTACGGCTGTTGTGCGCGTTGGCCGAAATCTAGTTTTGTAAACATTTCATCGAGGAAGTGACTTCAACACTGAGAAACACTATCTGCTGACTGAAAGCAGTAGTAAGAGGAGGAATTGGACCGAGACGCGATTTTGCGCTTGATTACAGTTGCACACGTGGCTAAAACGTGCTGTAGATACGATGCATTGCATTTCTTGGGAAGCCCCAAGCTGTCTCTGCAGTGAAATTAATTCGTAAGGATGATCCAGTTCTTCACTTTTAACGCCCGACTTCAACAGAGCTTAAAAGACCTAACAGAATAAACTGGAATGACTACTTTTAGAGAAGACTCTTCATGCAACTCTCCAGGATAGAGTGAGCGAGAAAATTTGGACCTCTTTTTAGTTTGCGTATTTCCCCCCTCAAGAGAAAGCTTCTCCCAAAACAAGGGTTTCAATGTTTGTGGTTAAAAGCAGCGGTAGATTCCCAAGAGCATGATGGCACTAAGAGTCAGCTGAACGGCCGCAGACACCGACACAATCTGGGAACTGTTTTCAGCAGCAGCCATGTAGTGTTTTCTAAGCAAAGGTGTTTCAAACTGTGTAGCGGTTACAGTAATTTAATGTGACTCGAGTGGCACCAGACTTTGGCTTTTTTTTTTTTTTTAAATTACAGCAAGCTATGAGGAATTTGACATTTACGGCTACATATCTGGATAATAAGAGGGGGAGGAGCAACATAACGTGACTGCTGCTGGCCCTGTTAGTGGCACACAGTGACCCAACAATTAGTGACAAGATGGCTTTGAGAAACCAAACTGCAAGCTCAAAGCTGAGCTATAGATGTGACACAAGTGTCAATGAGTAGGACTCGGGTTCCCAAAAGCATACAGCCACTGTGGTCGGCCCTGCTCGTCGGCTCTTTGACTTTAACAGTACGATTAATGTTATTTTTGACCCATTTTATATTTACTCATCCAGAGTGAGTAAAGTAATCCACAAATATGCTTACAGTGGTTATATGCTTTGGGGAATTAGCTCAGTCTCTAATAGACAGATAAGGAAATGCTTTGAGTTTCCTCATCGTAGTTTTAGTTTAGTTTTTTTTTGCCAAGGTTTGATTTAGTTCAAGCCTAGTTTGCTTCCTTCCAAATAAAAATAAAGAAAACATATTTAAACCAACAAATGACACTGAATACACACTTTTAGTCACCGTGGGCCAATACTTGTGGACAGTTAACGTATTACGGCAATAAAAACAATGGAAATAAGAGACAAAGTTTAAATTCTTAAAGGCACAGTACAGAAACAAATGATTCTCCATAAACACTTATCTTAAAATTAAACAACAAACCAAAAAATGCTATTTGCAGTAACAACCATAAGTCCTAAGACTGTCTGCTATCCTCACTGCTAATGGCCGACAGCGCCATTTCAGTTTGTCCAGCCACTCGTCTCTTTGTTAGACATCTGTGTCAGACCTCGATAAAGTTTCATGTTTTAAAAAAGGTGAAAAAAAGAAAAGATTTTGTTTCTGTGGCCTCCAATACGTGAAGGCCAGTATTTTTGAATTTATACGCAGACATGTTTTGCTTTTATGTCCTGCCTATAGCTATATTTTAGAAAAGTTTTTGGCCAGCGATTTACAACATGGCCGTGCGTTAAATACAAAGATGACATGAGGTCACGCGGGGAGTGTAAATGCAGACGAAAACACAGTGAAATCAAACTCAAATATAAGGTGGGGGGAAATAAAGAAAGGATTTCCCCCTCTTTGAAGAAGCCCACATGCTGAAATCTCAGGGAATTAAACACCCAGGTCTTTTTACCAGCACACACGTGTCACAGAGGGAAAATGGTCTTAAGGTGGCTGCTAGCTGGAAGCTAACAAGTAAGCCTGTGTCCAGTGTTTAAAAAGTAAACAACTAAAATTCAACAATCTCTTCATAATGTGGTCTTTTTCAAGAGGAGAAAAGCTAATTTACCAAAACAAAAAAGGTGGACATAGAAAGCACAAGAAAACTCTTCCAACGACTTAAAAGACATGAAGGATGGGGATGGAAGCTACATAAATGAGCATAAATAGTTTAATAACATGCATGGGGGTTTCTTGGGGTTAATGGTGGTAACAAGACAGATGGGATGCAGACGTCGATGTGGAGAAAGAATGGAGGATGAGTGAGAAGAGGAAAGAGGGATGAGCGAGGGAGGGAGGGAGGGATGGAGAAACCTAGTTGCCCCACCAGTCAACTTGAGAGTGTGAGTAGTTTCCTCCGTAGCCATCGCTGGTGTAGAAGTTGCTGAAGCCGCCTGAGAAGACAAAGGGAAGAGAAAAGAAAGCCTTCTTAATCAAGTAAAACTTTTGTAGCATTTCATCGCCCAAGTATCAGAAATTAGTGTTTCCAGGCAAAACAAATCTCTATAATGCAGGTCTGGTGTAAAACATTTATCCTGAATGTGCAGTTCTGTAAAACAATAATTCGCACTGAATATATTTTGCCCAACTCGCCATCAAAATATATTAAAAATACAACAATTGTTACGATTCGGTGTTGTCAGTGTTTTGTTTTAGGCGTGACTGTTATGTTTCCTGTTTTACTTTGAAGGTCTGTTGTATCTCAGTGTGTTCACCTTTTTTTTTGTCACGTCAGGTCTGATTTGCCCCAGCTGTGTTTCCCTCCTGTGGTCCATTCCCTGATTGCTCCCTCTATGCATTTAAGCCTTGTGTGCGATCTTCTCCCCCCCCCGGTTGTAAATAGTTTGGTGTTTTGATGTAAATAGTTGTCGATACTTTCGTTTTGGGATTTTTTTTTTGTGGAGACCCGTAGTAGTTTTTTTTGTTTTGTTTTCCCTTATTTTTATTTTTCCTGTGTTGCACGCCGGTTGCCTAGGCCGGGGTGTAACACAATATATGGCAAACGCAAGTGCTCTTCTTTTATTTCTCTCTATACAAGCTCTCAGAAAACGGGAAAAAAGTATCCTGGGGGGCCCAGTAAAAAGCAACACAATGAACATCGTGTGATTACAATCATGTGCACAATAATCACCCTACATCAGGGGTCTCAAACTCAAATGAGCCGTGGGCCACTTCTGGCACCATCATCTCATTGGAGGGCCACTTTAGTGTCCAAGTAGTACAAAAAACAAACACGAAAACACCCACTAATATATCCTAAAATGTAGTGTTTTGTTTGTTTTATTTAATTCCAAATATTGTGTAACAAGACAAAATTGCAAACATGAACGCAATTTTTTTTTTTCTCACTCTCAACTATCTGAAGCCTTTCAGTTTCAGTTGTCATATGCAAGTTAGCACAAGGTCAACATTGCAATGAGATGTATTTGACAAGCAGAAGACAGTCACTCAGCAGTGTAGTACAGTAGTTTCATTGAACTACCAAATAAACAGCTGGCAGCACTTTTGCTACAATTTTGTTTGTATTTAACAAAATAAAAATGCAGACATAAGCGTACACATTAGTTTTCAACTGCAAGTGAAAATTGTTTTCTTTCCAAATAATTCTCTCACTGAACTAACACAGCCCGCAACATGTTTGCACCCTCTTATTACCTCGGCCAGGTCCGCGGCTCCGAACCGCGGTAAGGAGACCTCTGGCTAATACTTTGGGTTCCGGCTCGTAGCCGGGAACTAGCGTTACTGTCTGGGTCAACTTTGCTAGCGAGAGACAGAGAGAGGCATTGAAAGGCTGCTCCAGCAGAACTGTATTGTTTCGGAGGAAAAAACGAACACAGCGTACAGTCGAGTCTTAATAGCTTACTTACAACTGGGCTCGTCAGGCACTCTTTTTGGCTGCAGTGGTTATTTTTATATTTACATGCTTCCAGCTCCTGTTTCTGCTCGGTAGCACCCTCCCTCCCTCACGCTCACACAGAGAAAAGCGGGAGGGGCGGTCCCACACATTCTCCCTGCAGCACGGACTACACCGCCCGTGAGGCTACAGTCTTAACCCTTTAAAGCCGGTTGGAGCGGTGGCGCGGCTGCCCCTCTGTTGGTCTTCCATGGTCTCTTGTGTTCTGGGGGCCTCTGGATGTCTGGAGTTTTGATCTCCTCCATACCCGCTTCACACCCTGGAGGACGGGGCTGTGGCCCCCCCACACTCCCTAGCAGATCATTACATGGAGAAACCTTTGGAATGCAAG